ATCGCCAGAAAATCACGATGAACTTTGATAAAGTTAGAAAGCAAACGTCCTACTCACTGGGCCACCGTAGAGCCAACTTCATTTCGATTCCGGGCACGGGACCTCGTCTTGTTAATCCCATTCGAACGACTATACGTTGACCCTTGTCAGGCTCTACATCCTACAGCACTGACAAGTCCACGCATCAAAAAACCCGATGAAGGTTATTGAAGTTAGAGAGCAAAGAAAGATTCGACTGAAGACTTAAAAGCGATTACAGAATACAATACTATCTGTGCAAGAAGAGATTAAAATTGTTTAAGACTATTAAATTTAATTTTCTAGAACTTCAAACATTTCCGTTTATTATAATCCATGTCTAAATATAAATGCCGATGCGGTAGTCAGTGGACATGCGTATAAACTGCACTTCCGAGGCGAGAAGACGAGAAGTCGAGATTGTGACGAAGCGAGGGAGCGAGAACACGAGAGGGCGAGGGAGCGAGGGAGCGAGAAGTCGAGGTTTTTCAAAGGCGAGAACACGAGAAGACGAGAAGTCGAGGGCGAGAAGTCGAGTAGTTGGGGGCGAGAAGTCGAGTAGTCGAGAGCGAGAAGTCGAGGTGAAAGTAATCTCGTGTTCTCGGGGCGAGATCCTCGTATTCTCGCCCTGTTTCCCCGTGTTCTCGCTCCCTCGCACTCTCGCCCTCAACTTCTCGTCTTCTCGTGTTCCCGTCTTCTCGTCTTCTCGTGTTCTCGCCCTCGACTTCTCGCATTCTGAAATGGCCGCAATAGGCTTCCATAATGTGTGCATGTACGATCTTTGGCACTGGGGGAAAACGGGAGGACCCGGAAAAACCCCACGAGGCTGAACAATTATTTCCTAGGATGTGAGATGAACTTGACAGATCCAGATATTTATAACACTCAATAACCAAACTATCCAATATCTAGTCAAGATCGTGTCACGCTACATCAGGTCGAGGGGTGGGGGGGGGAAGGAGGGGGTCGCCTTTCAAACCTCGTGGGTTTTTTTAGGATCCTCCTACACGCAAACGAATTATTGAAATAACACTCAACCGTTTTTTTGCCCCCCCCCCCCACTAGGGTGACCACCTTTGCTTGATCATATTGCGGGACATCATCTTGTTTTTAAAAAAAACCGAGGCAGTATGCATAACAATTGATATAGTCACTTCACTTTTCGTCATAGCAACAATAACAATAGAAAATCAAACTATGAAATATGCACACAAGCCTGGTTTGTATTCGTGTGTCATATGGGGGCTGGATGCCGAATGGTTAGCACGTGCGAGCTGTATCATAAGGTCTGTCATTGAGTCAACAAGGAGTGTCGCGTTCGCCTGTCCAACCTCGTGGGTTTTCTCTGGGTCTTCTGGTTTCCTCCCACTGCTAAAGACCCGTACGCGCAAGCGAATGATTGAAATAAAATTAAATCATGTGTTATTCCCAAAATGACCTAGTTTGTGTCGAGTGGACTTAAAACACATCTCTTCTTCTCTCTGGTATATCCGAGACTAAGCCTCGCTTTCCCATTTTTAAATTAAATTTTTAAATGGCGAACCGTTCTAATCTAGTTAAATCTCGAGTATCCAATGCCATCGAGGGTTGATTATGGTCTTGTTTTGTTAAGAATGTCTAATGGTTTATATAACATTTCAAGCCTAAAAAAAGGCCTGCAAAAGGCAGATTTAGCTCTTGCATGATGCATGTTTGTTTAAACTATTATTGCAAGAACTGTCAGCTCTTTAACTAAATCTTACGTAATGCATCTTTTACTGTCCCTGGTTGATACATACAAGATACCTTTACACAATCATCAGTTATGCATCAATGGACATATTTGAATTTTACTAATTCAGAGACGACAAAGCGAAAGCGAATGTAATTGATACTCCATTAAACCAAATATACATATCAAAATAAAGGAACAAGCAATTCGATACATCCGTTGTCTTCCAGTTTTTTTGTTTTTTATATATATATATATATATATATATATATATATATATATATATATATATATATATATATATATATAATAGAAATATATATATAATAGAAATATATAGCCTTCGGTCACGGCAAATGCCCCAGTAGTCAGCTAATGTTTTTTTGTTTATGTGATTCATAATGTAACAAATTTTAATACTAGTATTTATTTAATTTTAATATTCTTTGGGTAAGAGGGGGGTTGGGTGGCCCCTTGGTTAACGCATGCATTTTAGATCATAAGTTCTGTCATTGAGTCAAGTGGTGTGGTTTCGATTCCCCGTTTGTACGTGACAAGGAATGGGGTCGCCATCTAACCTCTTCCACTGGTTTCCTCCCAAAGCTAAAGACCTTATGTGCAAGCGAATTATAGTTTGTTTCGAGTGGGCGTAAAATTCCATTTTTTACCTTTTTTTTCTCTTCTCTCTCTCCCTGGACTGTTTTGACAATAATTGACTTTGGTAGTTTATTGCATAGAAAAGGTCTAGCATAGGACAAAGCACGTTTCCAAGTTGTAAATTAACATTTTGAGATTTTAGCAGATGTACTGTCTGAGAACTGAGATTTCTATTGGTAGTGCAGGTCTTTACAATATTTAAAAAATATAATATGTGAATTAATTATATTAATTTAATTTAATTTAAATTTCTTTGAGTATGGTTACGGTCGTGGTGTTGTCGGTTGCGCTGCTGATAGTGTGTAGTTGTAGTGTGGGGTGTCAATGTTATATAGATCATATTCGTTGATTTTTGTCAATATTTTCCATTTCTTATGTTTATTACATTAAAATATATATTTCTTTGAGTTAAACGTAATTGAAATGGGATTTAACGCCCAACTGGGCTAATGAAGACGGGCATACTCCAGATTGTGTCCTATGATCGAAATTGTGCCCGGGACCGATGCTGCGGCCTATACTCTTACATCGATTCCAACTGCCAAGGATTCTTTTGCGTCTCATCCGAATGAGTATACGTTGACCAAGGCCCTCTGTCCCGCACCAGTGACAGGGGGGAACCACGCCGGTGGATTTAGGTGGATTTTCAGAATGATGTACAGAGAAAGGTCTTCTACATGTTGGTACCAAAAAACCTTCTAAAGGAATTTGTGGTGGGTCTTTCAGTATTTTGACTTGACTAATACTCAAATAGACTATAGCGAGAGAAGTTTCACGCATATTACTGTATAGAAATCTTCCATGTGAGCAATTGCGGGACAGTTTGGTTGGTTTTCGGGACGCGGGACGGGTGGTCACCCTACCCCCCACCTCTTTTTAAACTTGATTATCCCCCAGGATTTTGCTTTTCGCTTTCTTAGCGTATTTCGAACTTGATTAACCCACACGGTTTACCTTTTCGCTTTATTATTAGCTTATTATTTTAAACTTGATTACTTAGACATGTTTGTATGTGGGGTACTTGGTGTATTATTTTTATATCTTGGCTTAGATAAAGTCGCAGCGAGATCTACCAATCAAGAAGAAAAACTATCGACATTATGTCACACCATGTAAACGAGCAATAGAACAGAAACTCGACATACACGTGTATACACATTTACATGACATATAAACTTATATTGTGACACAAATAAACAGGTATTGACAACTTGGGTCTTTATATAGCAATATTTTATAATAAAACAATCCTCGAGCTGTTGCAACGCCAATCAACCTGATTCGAACAAAAATATAATTGACAATAGCATGGGAATCACATATTTTCATGACTGCATTGAAATGATACAAACGAGAGAAATGGCATTTAACGTCAACTCGAAATAAACTAGGTCATTGTGCATCTGTATTGATAGGTAAACCTGATATGTCAGGGACCATTATATTCCATCAAATGTTACAACGTAATTAATATAAATTAAATAACGAACAATTCTACCATTAGACAAAATTCCTGAAAAACGGTATCGATAAAAAATGTTAACAGCAAATGGACTGTTCACCATTTACAAAATACCCGATGAACAGTGATATATTACTCTGAAAGTAGCCAAGTCTCTAATTGAATTTCATCCAAGTCTTTGACATTGAAAACACGAATTATTTTTCAATTTTAATCAACATTGCTGTTGTGATCTTACCAATATTTAAGACAAAATAAACATTTAACAATTGATACACGATTCGTGTACCATAATGCGTTTGAGCGCCATTTGTAATAAGGAACTTGAAGAAGGGGGCTACAAATATTCCACAAGTCATGTCAAACGGTGACGGCATATTCTTATATGGAATACTATCTGTGTAGACTGGAATAACCAGAAGCTAGAGATTGAGACTTCTGTTGTATTTCGCCGAACATAACTGATTTGAAATTAGAGTAAAAACGGAAACGATTGAATGTAAATCAGTTTATATACATTCATATTACATTATTATATGCGTTGCTACCCATTTGTGTCAATTTCTAGGTCCCAAATTTTAGTGATTTAGCTCCTTTAGTGTATACGGTTTTTAATCTATGCAGGAGTCACGGTGGCTAAGTGAGGTAAGACGCTGGCTCGCTAGCCTGGAGGTCGGGTGTTCGATCCCTAGATTTTCCGGCGTGGGTCCCTCTTGTCAGTGATGTAGGACGGATGGCCTGACAAGGACAGCGGTCTAGTCGTTCGGATGGGGCGAAAAACCGTGGTCCCGTGCACACATTGACGTGCACGTAAAAGACCCATTGACAGTCGGAATTCGATATAATGCTAGGCCGTAGTGCCGCTGTCCGGGCAAAATTTCCCTCATAGCACACACTGTATGGCGTATGCCCGTCTTCATTAGCCCAGTTCGGAGCAGAACAGAAGAACGTTAAATCCCATTTTATTTCAAACTCCATCAGCGGGGATCTGATGATAGTGTTACAATGTGTTATTGTAGTGGCTTGATCAAGCACTGATGTTCTACTCGATTGTGGGAGGGGCATAAATTTAATCAATATTCATAAAAAACCAAACCAATCACATATTGAATAGAATATATATTTTGCTTTATAAACAACGAGCTGTAAAATACAACATATTATATGACCGAGAATTATAACTGAACAAGATGAGAAAATTTGAGATATTTCTGGTGGTTTTCCTTTCTTGTGGTATGTATTGTTTAGCTGTTGTATTTCAGTATCCGACAAACTTTCTTTTCAATTTAATTCAAATCGAAAGAATTCCAAAATTGCCTAATTGCGCTTTCATGCAAGGGGACATTGACTGCATTACAATTATGGCTCTATAGTTATAAATTATGAATGTGTAAAACAATTGTTTCAAGTAAACTGCTCAAGACAACTAAATATATAGTCATATATTTTCTTGAAAATTAATGTCTTGAAATGTGACTTACAAGTGTTCAATGTTTCGGATCTTTTGATGTCTATGGGAAGTCTGTTTCATAAAACTACACCGCATCTCAGAAAAGCACGATCTCCATACTTGGTTCTTGATTTGGATGTCACTACCAACTGTAGTTAATCGGCTGATCTTAAAAGTAAGCAATGGTTGATAACAGGAGAACAGATGTTGAAGGCCGAGATTGTGGATCGCTTTGAAAACAACAGTAAATAATTATACCATATATCACTAGCGGGTGTCGTGCAAAAATAAAAGTATGTACATTAAGGTTTTCTAAAACACTCGATGCTGTTTCTCATGTGGGGGTTTCATATGGTTAACAATCATTTAAGATTTATCTGTATCTGCAATAATTAAACAGTTAGTTTTAGATTAGGTAACGAACTTTTAAGGTTTACCATTATCTATGGAAGCCTATAACTACCATTCATAATTTCTACTTTTCGCCTCTTCAAAACACGAAAGTCGAAAAGTCGAAAAGTAGAAGTTACGACAAAATGTGAGGCGACAACACGCTATACATGCCAAAATCAACTCGAAAATAGGAAATTAAGAAATAACACACAGCGATAATAGCGCCCCTTGTTTTTTCCTAATTTCTTATTTTCGACTTGCATTTTGGCTTGTATACCGTGAGCCCTGATTGCACGTATTCAAGTGCGACCTGGAAAACTGAGACTACAACAACTTCCGAGGCGAAAAGTCGAAAAGTCGCTAATAGCGTGGTGTGTTAATTTCCTAATTTCTACTTTTCGAGTTGCATTTTGGCTTGGTATGCGTGTTGGCGCCTTCTTACTGACATCAATAAATACAAAAATATGACTAAGTCGGAAGTCGACAAGACGCTATTATCGCTGTGTGTTATTTCTTAATTGCCTATTTTCGAGTTGATTTTGGCTTGTATAGCGTGTTGTCACCTCACATTTTGTCGTAACTTCTACTTTTCGACTTTTCGACTTTCGTGTTTTGAAGAGGCGAAAAGTAGAAATTATGAATGGTAGTTATAGGCTTTCATAATTATCTGCCATTATTAAACGGTTAGTTTTAGATTAGCTAACAAACTTTTAAGGTGTGCCAATATCTGCCATAATTAAACAGTTAGTTTTAGATTTGGCTAAAAAACTTTTAAGGTTTGCCAGTTTCTGCGCGAAGATTAATCCAGTTAGTTTTAAATTTACTGGGGGGGGGGGGGTGGATGGCTGCGCGCTGTATCATAATACCTCTGTCATTGAGTCAACTGGCGTGGTTTCGATTGCCCGGTTGTACGTGACAAGGAGTAGGGTCGCCTGTCCAACCTCGCGGGTTTTCTCTGGGTCCTCCGGTTTACCCCCACTGCTAAAGACCCCCACGCACAAACGAATCATTGAAATAAAATTAAACTATATGTTAGTCCCGAAATGACCTAGTTTGTGTCGAGTGGACGTTAAACCACATCTCTCTCTCTCTCTCTCTCTCTCTCTCTCTCTCTCTCTCTTAAATTTAGTTATTTTTTTCTCCCATTATCTACATGGTTAGTTTATTGTAGTTTGTATGTATTTAACTGTATTTTATTTTATAGATATTTATGTTTATTGCTTTAAAATTTATTGTAAAGCGTACACCTGAAAATGTATATGGGCTATATAATTGTTTTATAATAATAATAATATTCTTCTAGAACAATAAATATAATATATGCTAACAGCGTGTAAATAGAGTCATAATTATCAATATTAGTAAAATATATTAATACATTACGTAATTATTTAAAATAATTGTTTAAAATAAGTATGATATATGATAAAATGGTCTGACTGGGCTAATGAAGACGGACATATGTCATACAGTGTGCTATGAGTGGAAATTCTTCCCTGACAGCGGCGCCACGGCCTACTCGTATATCGAATTCCAACTGCCAAGGCATCTTTTACGTACACGCCAGTATGTATACGGGACCTCGGTTGTTTGTACCATTCGAACGACTAGACAGTTTTCCTTGGCATAATAGATGATAACACTGTATAAATATGTGTAATATAAGTTACAGTCCGTTAATACGGCCATAATTATAACTATACGTGTAATATATATAACAGCGCGTAAATACAGTATATGGTTACAGCGCGTAAATACGGTCAGAATTATACATGTATATGGGTAATATACAGTTACAGTCAGTATTATACATGTATATGAGCAATATATACTTATAGTCAGAATTATACATGTATATGAATAATATACTATTCAAAAAAAGTAGGGGATATTTGATTTTTAAGTGTTATTAAAGTCACCTAATGAAACTGACGAAGAAACAAATGACAAAATGAAATGAAGTTCACATTCATCGATTTATTCCAAATGATCGTTAGACTAAGTAAGGCACAGACTGACCATTATACGGGTAAAATGATACCCGGGGTCAAACAGCAAAGTTACCACAGCATCACAACCAAGTCAGTAACGGGTAAATCCTCCTCTGTTTGCCAAACAAGCATTGATCCGACGTGGCATACTCCTAATGAGACGTCTAAGGTCATTTTGGTCCAGATTGTCCCATTCCTGTTGCAACGCAGCAGCAAGTTCTTGGACATTGGCAGGACGTTGTTGACGTTGACGTAACCTCTGTCCAAGCATGTCCCAGACATGCTCGATGGGGGAGAGGTCGGGACTCAGTGCTGGCCAAGGTAATGTGGTGATGTTCTGTTGTTGGAGGTAACCTGTAACGATCCTGGCCCTGTGACATCTTGCGTTGTCATCCTGGAAGATGAAACGGCGGCCATGACGTCGTGCGAACGGCACAACATGGACTGCCAAGATGTTGTCCCGGTAGTACTGGCCTGTAACACGCCCTGCAACAACATGTAAAGCCGTTCTTCCAGCAACAGTGATGCCTCCCCACACCATAACAGAACCACCCCCAAATCGATCATGTCTGATGTCGTTAACGTCTTGGAAGCGCTCGTTTCGACGACGCCACACCCTCCTACGTCTGTCCAAAAAATCAACAGTGAACCTTGACTCATCTGAAAACATCACATTGCTCCAGCGTCGATTATCCCAGTGTTGACGATCCCTACACCAACGACGTCTTGCCTGAATGTGATGATCTCTCAAACAAGGGATCACGCGAGGACGTCGGGCGCGAAGGTGACCCCTATGCAGTCGATTCCGAATCGTCTGGCCACTCACTCTCACACCAGTGTCTGTTTGAAGACGAGCGCTGATCTGATTTGCTGTGATGACACGATTTCCCAAGGCCAAGGTACGGATAAATCGATCCTGGGCTTGAGTTGTCGCCCTTGGTCGACCTGAGCGTGGTCTGTCCTGTACAGATTGTTTATCACGGTATCTGGACCATAGCCTGCTTATGACAGACTGAGAAACATTCATCGTCCGCGCCACAACCGCCTGTGTTGTGCCGATCTGTAGCATGCCAAGGGCACGTAACCTTTCATTTTGGGTAAGCCGACGCATATCAAAATTTGTTTTCTGGTCACTAAAACAATTAAACTGATGTTTCCACCCTGGAATTCAATGCCACAATGACTGTAACATTCAAAGTCAGAGTCGTGCAAATCTTGGGTTGGACCCCCATGATGATCCCAAGCATCACCTGCATTCCATGTGGTAGCTATTGGTGCGTTTGGGCGTCACATGTAACTGGAAATGTTTCTTCTGTTAGGTTCTATAGTGACTTTTTTCGTAGTCATTTGCATATTTTAGTATTATGCCCCCAAAATCAAATATCCCCTACTTTTTTTGAATAGTATATATACTTACGGTCAGAATTCAATAAATATAACATATAATTACAGTTTGTAAATACAGTGATTGCTTGCTTAGCCTGGACGACACTGGGGTAGCAGAACTTCATAGACGATACAAACGGTAAATAACTAAGAGATACTTATTCATTTCGTTATAACTAACATTGTAATTAATTCATATTTATTTAACGTTGACTTTAACCGTCTTGTATGGTCATTTTAAAAAACTCAATAAATAATTAATTTCTCCTTATATCTGTCAGACTTTGAAAGTAGACACGCACTCAAAACCGGTCGCCACATCCTGCGCATGATGACCCATGCACTCTTTTCTTACTACATATCTTGGAACACCCCTTGATCGTCTAGTATTGTCTCTGGTTGTATTTGTAATTCTTTAACTGGTTAGGACGTATCTTTAAATGTTTCTTTAACATCATACGTTGTGTATCAGTCCCAAAATATCGTATAATTAACAAACAAGATTACAGAAACAAAAGTACAGTTTCTACAGTTTTATATCAAGCTGGATACATAGGTTACAAACATAGATTAAAAATAAAGTCATTCTCTCTATCTCTCAAACCCACCATTCCGTAGAACAAGTTTACTAACGGATTCCGCTACACCATACGGCTCTCCTACGACTTAACGGGACATTCTGAAACCAGATAGTGTCCCCTGAACCGCAACGGTCTCTCCTCTCTTAGAGTCTGCCTGGTGTCTACCCTAGAGCACACCTTCTATTAATTATATACTCTCGGTTTCACGGCCATCAATTATTCTATTAGTTAATTATGATGTAATTGATAATGTGATTGGCCACTCATGCTAAATATGGAATGGAAACTTTCCTATCACGTGTTTTTAAACATTGAATTTATCCTTGGGCTTAGACCCCTTTTTCTCATATTCATACAAATAATTTGCGTATTAAACAAACTCATACCATAGCTAATATACTGACAGTGGAGAATACAAAAAAAAACCCAAAAAACCCCATGTCCTATGGTGCACTTATAGTCGTCTAATACAATTTCGCATAAATTACCAAATAGTATTACAACGCCTCTCCTATTTAAAATTTATGTGACTCGCATTCGGCCGTGCTTTGGTGTGACGGGGGCTTACATAGGTTATAGTGTGTTCTATGATCATGGTAAACAATTCACGTGTGTACTTCTTTCATGTTCATAAAATGACGGTTTATGTTTATTTTGGCACCAGTTGGATAATAGGGGTCATAGTTTTAAACGGATGTCGAATAACTACACGTATGTGCATTTTTCTGATTAGCAAACGAAAAAATAAATAAAATGGGGTTTATTAACGTCTTACTGTTCTGCTCTAACTGGGCTAATGAAGACGGACACATGCCATACAGTGTGCTTTTAGTGACAGTGGCACTGTGGCCTACTCTTATACCGAATTCCATCTGTCAATGGTTCTTTTACGTGTACGCCAATGTGTACACGGGACCACGGTTTTTCGTCCCATCCTAACGACTAGGTTGACAAAGGACCAATCCCTACATCTTAGTTATACATTTATTTTCATATAATGACAGGGATACAGGAAGCTGTGATAATACAACATTATATCGTCGACCAGACGGAACATGTAACAATTTACAGAATTCTAAATGGGGCTCGGCTAATCAACCACACAAAAGACTTATAGCTGCTGTTTACGGCGATGGTATGTATTAATCCAGAATATGACTATGGTTCTGTAGGAAAGTTTGAGTAGTTTAAAGTAAGTAAGTGGTAGGGTATTCAACAATGTTGTCATCAAATATGGCCGTCGACGTTATATCAATTTTATCCAATCCGCTCTAGTTTTCTGTCAATTTCTATGAAAAAAAGGCCAGAATGAAGCTGTTTATGTGAACTTATTTGAAGAACATATTTTTTGGTAAATGTTTAGTGATTTTCAAGAAAACACATTATACTACATTTTGCTATGACAATAAGAAATTCTTTAATAACACTCAAAAAAGAAGTTTGGTCTTTTTATATAGAGAACTATCTGTGCATACTAATTTAAGATGTCAAGCATAGTTACCATAAGATGGTCACAATACATAGTTACCACAAGATGGAGTAGGGTAATGTGGGGTAAATTGCCCACCTTCATGCCCAATTCATATTTCTCAACCTTTTTTGAAACCACTTCAGGATTATACCAAACTACTGTTGATATTCTGTTGTTTAACTTATTTTTATTCTAACTAAACAAAAAATATTTGGGATGGCAATGCTCTTAAAGGTTAGAAGCTTACCTGCAATATTTTTATATATTGCTCGCTTTCCGCTGTGGCAACCTCAATTGTTATGGATTGTCGATATTGTTTCGTTATGCACATTTCTGACTCTACTGAAATCAGACGTTTTGCTCTCCTGTGCTCTCAATTCGTTTCACTAAAGCACAGTCACATCGGTTAGTCTAAAATACCGTCGTGATTCGTTTAATTACACCCTCGTGGTCACCAGTACGCTCTCAATGCACCACAATCAATCCTCGTTCTTCTCTCAGGGGGAGTTGGATGGCCGAATGGTTAGCACGTGCATGCTGTATCATAAGGTCTGTCATTGAGTCAACCTGCGTGGTTTCGAATCCCCGGTTGCACGTGATAAGGAGTAGGGTCGCCTGTCCAACCTCGTGGGTTTTCTCCGGCTTCTCCGGTTTCCTCCCACTGCTAAAGACCCCAACGCGCATGCGAATTATCGAAAAAAAATTGAACCATGTCTTAGTCCCGAAATGACCTAGTTTGTGTCAAGTGGACGTTATATCCCATTTCTCTCTCTCTCGTTCATCTCTCAGTGCCCCAAATCACTATCCCGATGCGCTATCACCCCACCCTCAACAAGTGTGCAACTCGTTCATTGCGCATGTCAGGGAAGTAAAAACAAATAATGACATATTGTAAAAAAATATTTCCGAACTTCATTTATTAGAAACAGTTTACCACACCGCTCGCGCCCATTCACCCCCTTGCCCACCCCCCCTACCATGTTTTCTTAAAACAAAGTATCGAATTAACGACCTTTCTATCTACAGGAAAGGCATCACCTAGATCTAAATGTGGTAATGGTGGAGCATTACCAAGTCCAAGAGTTATCTCAAGTGCAGTTAATTCCCCTCGAGTTATAGATGATATTTTCACGGTATGGATGATGCAGTGGGGACAGTTTATAGATCATGACATTACATTAACACCAACACTAAAATCTGGTATGTATCCCGCGTAATGAAATACGGTATGTATCCCGCGTAATACAATCTGGTATGTATCCCGCGTAATGCAATCTGGTATGTATTCTGCGTAATGAAATATGGTATGTATCCCACGTAATGAAATCTGGTATATATCCCGCGTAATGCAATCTGGTATGTATCTCGCGTAATAAAATCTGGTATGTATCTCGCGTAATACCATCTGGTATGTGTCCCGCGTAATGAAATCTGGTATGTATCCCGCGTAATGAAATCTGATATGTATCCCGCGTAATACAATCTGGTATGTATCCCGCGTAATGCAACCTGGTATGTATTCTGCATAATGAAATCTGGTATGTATCCCACATAATGAAATCTGGTATATATCCCGCGTAATGCAATCTGGTATGTATCTCGCGTAATAAAATCTGGTATGTGTCCCGCGTAATGAAATCTGGTATGTATCCCGCGTAATGAAATCTGATATGTATCCCGCGCAATGAAATGAAATGGGATTTAACGACCTAAATGTCTGCTCCATCCACGGTCATAAAGACGGTCTGTTGGTGGAGCCACGGTGGCTAAGTGGGTAAGCCGCTGGCTCGCTAGCTCGGAGGCAGACAGACAGGGAAAATATGAAAATTCCGAGAAAAAGTCATCAAAAATAATGATTAAATTCCAGTCTTTATCATGGTTAAAATCATACACATAGATTCATAAAAACGCTATGACACAACAGTTCAGGGTATAAAAGTAGCAAAAAGGACGGTAAAAAGACAACGATGTTATACGGACCTTTTCCGTGTGAAAGCTGTTCAATAGGTGCTGACGTATTCGTGTGTCGTATCACGTATGAGAAATACACACACATTGATGACATCACACGCAAAGTCGGCACGGATACACGATACGGACCAGGAATTTACGCTTGCCAAAAGTCTGTATTAATATATGTATATGTTGTTATAACATTACTGCTTAAAACGAGGGGCAGAACAGTAGGACGTTTAGCCCCATTTCATTTCATTTACTGCTTAAAACGATGAGCTTAATTTGCATTTTTTGTTTTTTGTTCCAGATGTGCCTTGTTGTGGTGGTAATCCGCCTACCGGGTAAGTAAACCTTTTGTTATTCCATATCATTTGAAATCGGTGCTAATTGTAAATTGTCAAATAAGTGAATAAAAGTCAAGCATGATACCAGATTTAATAAAGCGAATTTGTATATTTGAATTTTAGAGGCCCGTGTTTTCCGATTAGTGTTCCTGCGAATGATCCCTATTTCAGCCAGTTTAATAAAACCTGTCTCAACTTTATAAGATCAGCTCCTGTTCCCGATAGTGGTAAGTACGCAGTACGGGATCTTGGTCTATTCCCCTTGTAGGACCAATCTCCGTTTTAAACAAACTTGAACACACTTGGCGAATATTTCAGACTACAGTGCGCGCAACGAGGCCCACGACAGTGTCAAATCTCTCTCTCCCTCACTCTCTCTCTGGACTATCTGATGATGACATATTTAACGTCCACTCGACACATACTAGGTCATTTCGGGACTATCATATTGGGCTATCTGATGATGACATTGGTATAGAGAGCGGGAGAGAGAGAGAGCGAGAGAGCGAGAGAGCGAGCGAGAGAGAAAATAGGTTTAACGTCCACTCGACACAAACTAGGTCATTTCGGGACTAACATGTGGATCAATTTTATTTCAATAATTCGCGTGCGCGTAGGTGTCTTTAGCGGTGGGAGGAACCCGGAGGGCCCAGAAAAACCCACGCGGTTCTATGCCTTGTCACATACAACCGGGGAATCGAAACTACGCCATGCAGTTGACTCAATGACAGACCTTATAATACAGCACGCACACGCTAACCATTCGGCCATCCAACCACCCTGACATTGGTATAACTTGATGGCTAATGTCCTAGTTTATAACAGCGGTAATACGAATGGTGGATGTAGTTCTGATATGTCGCTATCTATGAAATTAAAAATACGTTATCCCATTACCCCATTGTCTTATTATTGTAGAGCCAAGAGAACAGTTCAACGCAATTACCAGTTATGTCGATGCTTCAAATGTATATGGAAGTAGTATGTCCGAATTAGACTCTCTTCGATCTAAATCTAATGGTAATATTTGTTATTTTTTTTGTTTCTTAAGTTAGATTTGTGTATGTTGTATATATGGAATACGAATTTTAGTGACAAGAATTATCAGATGACCATGCTTGGTATTTCATCTTGCCTTGGATTTAAAACGGAAATAAACTAATAATAATAATAATAATAATTTATTTATATGTGCCCAGGCCCCGAGTTCACAAGGCATTCTCAGGCTTAAGTTAAGAATTTACTCAAAATTGTTTGCCTTATTTTAACTAAAATATAGCCCTTTATAAACCTTTTGTTGTTTTAATGTATCAAATACATCAATAGGAAACTATGTGCAAAGCCTTGTGTTTCAGGATCAAAGATATTTCTCATAAACAGTGATCGAAAGTTGAGTAAATTCTTAACTTGAGTTGGAGAATGCTTTGTGGACTCGGGGTCAGTTCTATGCAAGTATGCATTCTTTAGTCGATAAAATAGCAATGTCACCATCTTTCAAAATATAATTGCAGGTATGTTGTTAAACAATGATAACCGACTACCCAGGAACCCTGTTGATAATTGTATTTTAAATCAAAGCAATGATGCGTACTGTTTTAAAGCTGGTAAGTCTTCTGGGATCAGGAACAGGGCCCAGAGCTTTACTCATCTTGTTGTTTGTGTTGTGTGTGGGCGGGGGAGGGGGAGAAGTGCTGGCTAAGGGAGTAAGACGTTGGCTCGCTAAACTTAAGGTTCCGTGTTCGATCCCTATGTTGACCGAGACAGTTCTTCGGGGACAGCGTATAGTAGTCGGATAGGAAGAAAAACCGAAGTCCCGTGTACACATTGGCGCGCAGGTAAAAGATCCCTTGATAGTTGGAATTCGAAATAAGAGTAGGGCGTAGTGCTGCTGTCCGGGCAAAATTTCACTCCTAGCCCAATGCATGGCGTAAGCCCGTCTTCATTAGCCTAATCGGAGCAGAATAGTAGAACGCGCTTAGAAATAAGTTTAAGACTCCATCAAATCAAATACGAAACATGTCATGCGTGGTACGTGGTTCCACAATTGCGCACCCGTTTCACAGACATACTAATAAGTACATCTATGATCTATTGACCAACTTCCATTTTTGATATGACGTCACAATTCCAAGAGAGTGCCGATGACGTCATGATCCTCTCCTAGTCCATAATGTTCGCATGCTTGTTAAGTCTTTACCGGTGACAACACCAAAAGTTTAATGCAATGGCTACGATTCTTTTGCGTGTCAGTAACTTGCGTGTCAGTAAATTTATTCCTTGTGGAACATCAGTCTAAATATGTCCCAATTCCAATTGAAAGGGAAAACGTCATTCGGTTAGCGCGCACGTAAAAGAACCATTGAGAGTAAAATTTCCCACGCCTGTTTTCATTCACATCCAGTTACAGCAGAAAATTAGGACGTTCAACCCTATTTAATTTGTTTTCTTGTAGGTGACGCAAGGGTCAATGTATGGCCGGGGTTATCTACTATTCATACGATATTCATGAGATTGCACAACCTGATAGCTACCGAACTAAAACAATTAAACTCATCGCGGTCAGATGAAGAGCTTTTTCAGAACACCAGAAGAATCGTAGAAGCTATCAACGCACACATTAACTACTATGAATATCTGCCTCTTGTTCTTGGACCAGGTCAAACGTCTAAATACGACCTGAATAAAGAGGATTCGCATTACGACAATAGTACCAATCCTTCGATACCCAACAGTTTCTCCACAGCTGCGTTCCGTTTTGGTCATTTACAGATCCCGGACAAGTATTGTGGTCAAAATTTGGAGAATTTCTACAACAAAACGGATTATGTGATAAAGGAAGGTATCACCAAAACTGCTCAATGTCTTACGGAAGAGTTAGGACAGAAATATGGAAGCCACCCAACTGATGCAATTTGTAATCATTTGTTCCAAGTCGCTCCTGGCGTGTCCAATGATCTCATCGCTTTAAATATTCAACGTGGTCGCGATCATGGTTTGCCATCCCTCAATGATTTTCGAGAGCTGGCCTGCAACCTATCGAGAGTAACAAACTTTACAGATCCGAAACTTGGAAACTCAGGAGATGCTTTAAGTTCTGTTTATTCGTAAGTATAGATAATTGCATAGTTTTAAAATACAGATGTGACGCCATCCTTCCATGTTGGCCTACCATTATTTCAAGGACAAGAACCGAACTGTGGAAAAGACGGACTTGTAATCGTTACACAAATTTGTTAAATGACACTTTCTCTATTTCGTTGGGGGCCACGGTGTCTAAGTGGGCAAGACGCTGGCTCGCTAGCCTGAAGGTCGAGTGTTCAATCCCTGCATTGGCTGAGAAAGTTCATCCAGATTTTCCAGCGTGGTTCTCCCTTTACCGTGATGCAGGCCAGAGGGCGTGACAAGGAAAGCTGTCTAGTCGTTCGGATGGGACGAAAAACCGAGGTCCCGTGTACACATTGGCATGTACGTAAAAGATCCCTTGACAGCTGGAATTCGATATAAGAGTAGGCCGTAGTGCCGCTGTTCGGGCAAAATTTCCCTCATAGCACACTGTATGACGTATGCCCGTCTTCATTAGCCCAGTTCGGAGCAGAAGAAGAGGACATTAAACCCCATTTCATTTAATTTCTATTTCGTTGTTAGGGTGTTAATAGCATTACAAATAGGTGATAGATTTGCTTTGATGTTAAAGAAAACAAGCTATAAAATATAATGAATAAGCTATTTTAACAATAATCATTAGTTTAGTTGCATCTCTTAATCAGTGAGGAACAGTTCAATACTGAATAGTTGGAGGTGATACAATTTGTGGTCGAAATGGGGTGTAGTCGAAATGGGGGTGAACGGGCAAACCGACCTTTCGGCCTCCGTCATTTCGACAGTTGGCAGTTGAAATTCGATATAAAATTAGGCCACAGCGCCGCTCTCCGGACAAAATTACCCTTATAGCACACTGCATTGTCCGTCTTCATTAGCTCAGTCGGAGGACAACAGAGGGATGTTAATCTCCATTTCATTTCATTTCCCATTCGTAATGGAGGTATTGTTTATCTTTTGTTCCATTCATACTTGTTTCAGTCGTGTTGATGATATTGAATTGTTTCCTGGTGGCGTAGCTGAACCACCAGTACCTGGTGGCATCGTCGGTGAAACATTTGCCTGTATCATTGGAAAAACTTTCTCTGACTTGAAGAAAGGTGACCGTTTCTACTATGAGAGGAACCTTACGCCAGGTATAATGCACGGAACTAGGTGTAGCCTACTAGAAACATCAACGTTGATTGGTTAATCAAATGTATGACCCGTGATGCGACCTCCCACTACAACTGTTTTTATCTTTATGCAGTGGAGGCCATCGAAAGTATATAAAAACGAAAGGAAATATAGATCTCTGTATTTTAATCAGATTGCGATGTTACTGTTATACGAACATACTATGAGGATATTAGAGACTTTTGGCAAGCAGAATTTTTCCCATCCGTATCACGTTTCCGTATCGTCACGTGATACGTTGCGTCAGTGTAGTTTTAGAGTTTTGGCAAATTATCGCGCTGCGTATAACGTATGAGTAGCTGAGTTGAGCTTAGTTCTATTACAGCATGATCACCATCAGTACCAGTCAAGTGCCTAGCCGACAAATTACTGGGGGGAGTGAAGTCGCTCGGCAGTCGCTGAGCTATTAAAAGAAATTAATGTAGGATCTTATTAAAAATCTTCGACCTCGACTCGACAGCAATTTTTGGTTTCACTAATGTATCATTTCAGAAAGTTTATACCCTCTTGCCATAGAATTACATCATTTACAGTTTTGTAAGGTGCCACCTCCCGAAATTTAGTACGTAGATCAACAGACATTCAGACAGACAGGAAAAGTATGAAAATTCCGAGAAACACTCGTCAAAAATAATGATTAAATTCCATTCTTTATCATGGTTAAAATCACATCAAATATACACCTTCATGTTTTAGGATACACATAGATTCATAAAAACACCAGGGCACAACATTTCAACGTCTAAAAAAACAAAAAAGTAGACGATGTTGTACGCACCTTTTCCGTATGAAAGCTGTTCGATACGTACTGCCGCATCCGTGTGCCGTGACACGTATGAGAAATACACACACATTGATGACGTCACACGCAAAACCGACACGAATACGTGATACGGACCATGAATTTACGCTTGCCAAAAGTCTCTATTGTATCGCGTTACGGGGGAAACTCCCGTGATTTAAAGGACAATATTGGTGTCAGTCTTTATCAAATATGTAATAGAACTGGTTAAACACGTCCCAAATATAATTTTAACACAGAGATCATTGCTACGGGAGATGCGTTATGAAGCTTACAACTTTTGGTCTTCGAAGGAATTATTAGTGAGCAGAAATTCGCCCGTGTATCTGTTATCACTCGTCACTTCAGACAGAAGGATAACTCGTGTTGCGTTGGTCACTTCCCTTTCTTGAAAGCTTCACAACGCATCAATCGTAGCAATGATCTCTGTGTTAAAATTATATTTGGAACGTGTTTAAAGATACATTATTCGGAGCTTCGATGACGAGTTGGCAGTTCTCACTATAATAGTTAAAAACTAGATAATGTAAAGGCAATTTGCTGAAAATATCATTCAAATTGATCCACAAAGAACCGAGAACTAAGCGATTGAAATTTCCACCTAACCTCGATCATCATTACTAAAGTCTCTAAACAGCATAGTCTCTATTATCCATTTAATCGTTAAATCGCGAAGGAAAGTTATGCAGTAAATCGGCTCATAATCCGCCAAAGAGCGCAGGCAAGCGTTGACATCGAGAGTTGATTATGTTCTGGATAGGTTAATTATGTCTAATTAATAATTTAGATAACATTTCAGGCCTAAAGAAAGATATGCAATATACAGATTTAGCTCTTGCATAATGTATGTTTAATATGATTAATACAATGACATCATTATTAATATGACGTCATAATGTATGTTTAAGTTAACACACAAATAATACTACTAAAAGAAATATATTACAGTTCTAAATGTATTATCAAATATTGTGTTCTGATAAATAATTGGAATTAAAGGAAATATAATATTACTCTTGCGGGTATTGATGACGTTTTAGAGATACCACCATAATATATTGATATGTTGTAGATCAACTTAAAGAAATCAAGAAAATATCCCTGGCTAAAGTTATCTGTGATACAACTTCAACAGGCCAGATTCAACCAAATGTCTTCAGAGAGACTTGTGGATGGTAAGTACGTTGTTTTAAAAATAATGCCGATTTCTTGTTATGGATCATAAGTTCTGTCATTGAGTTTAGTGGAGTGGTTTCGATTCCCAGCTTGTACGTGACAAGGATTAGGGTCGCCAGGGTTTTGTACGGGACCCCGGTTTCTTCTGATAAAGACCCCAACGCGCTAGTAAATAATTGAAATAACATTGAACCATATGTTAGTCCCGAAATTACCTTATTTGTGTCAAGTGGACCGTTATGACCCATCTCTCTCTCTCTCTCTCTCTCTCTTTCTCTCTCTTTGCGCCAAGTGGACGTTATGCCCTCTCTCTATCGCTCGCACGGGAGATAACTCATGTGAGGTAAATGAACCGGAAACCAAACTTGAATTAAAAATTTAAAAAAAATCCGAAAGTGTTTTAAATGATAAATACAGATTGCCTATTTCCCTTTCAGCAACCAGAAGACTGACTGTAGCAATATCCCTGGAATCGACTACAGTAAATTTGCTGATCATAGCGCAGAATAAAACTTTTGATTTTCGCATTTTATTTATTTTTATTATTGTTAATTCCATCCCTCTATTACAGGGAATAAATATATAAGCATTTTAAATTTATTAGGAATATATCAGTACAATTATTATTATTGCTATAGCACATTTTCAAATGGATTTGAGTTGTAAATTTATCAGTATATTATTATTATTGCTATAGCACATTTCAAATTGATTTGAGTTGTAAATGTATCAGTATATTATTATTATTGCTATAGCACATTTCAAATGTATTTTGAGGAATAACTATAACGGTGCAAGTATTCTTATTATTCTTCTTATTATTAATATAGCACATGAATTTTAAGGAATAACTGTATAATATATATAGACGCAAACGAACCGGGTGATTGCCTACTAACATAACGTCACTGCCTATAGACTCCCTTGACCAGGCCTAGATGGTCAACCCTCTCCAATGTTGAGCCTATTGTGGTTATACAGATTGGAATGTTTAAAATGTTATAGGCGAAGAAATATCATGGATTTAATTGTGGCGGGGGAGGGGGGGTGGTCTGAATCCTAATGTAGTTAAAACCTTATTACCTCCCTTTACCCTACGACCCTATACATCTTTGTAAGATTCCAACTCAGTGATGCCCAAAGAGCGAAATAGTTGTTTGTGTAACTGCCTACACTACCTTAACCAGTGGGTACCAGTGTCACTTTTTCAATACTTATAAACTAACGGATCTTAACCTTGACCTTACCAAGGAATGTGGTGGGCCGGTATCTTTTCAGAAATGAAATGAAATGTCCTACTGTTCGGCTCCTACTGGGCTAATGACGACATGGTGATACCGTGATTATGGGGCTTGCTCCCTTACCGACAGATCTAATATTTGACCCTTTCGTCGGTGGTGCCAGGCATCTCTGCATTCAAATGGGATAAAAAGCCATGTTCGCCTATGTTACATTGCAATTTGTCAAGGGTGAACAAATTTACGTCAAGAATGATTAATATGCTAGAAATTGTTGAAGGAACGATCCTTATTGAATAATAGTCTAAAGCTGCTACATGACAGAGTCAATGTATTAACTTGATGAACAAAAGGGGAAACAGTCCATAAAAGACTATATAAAAGTTGCCACATATATTTTGTCGCAGCAGACCAAACAGATGTTCAACTTTGTATAAATGTTTAGTACATTTGTATTTGTAAATTGGCCTAGTGATCGCGACTCGACCTCTAGCTGGTTGGTCACCTCTGGCTTACGGTTGTGGTTTCGATCCCCGGTGGGAGCGTATGTGACTTGGAGATGGGGGCGCCTCCTCTATGTCGTTTACGCCTGGTACTCCGTTTTCTTCTCACAGAAAAGACCCCCGGGCGTGCGCTAAGATAATAAGAAACGGACGTTAAACAACAAGAACAACACCAATTTTGGAACAAATTGTGAACCCAATCAAATATGTCTGCAGCCAGAATTTCTAGTGTGAAGTTTCGCATCTTCCATCTCTTATCTAATCAAACTAAACATTATTTGGAACATCCGAGGTTCCAAGCAAAATGTGTTGATTTAGGGCCAGATAAAAATTGACATAAAATTAAATATCGGCGAAAATACCTAATGCCTTCATCCTTCAAGAACAGTGTATTGGTTAAATTGTGATTTCAACAAGAATATCCAAAATATAAATGACACGGTTACACAAGGAATTGCGGAAATCAGTTAATGGCACAGGGTACAGGTAAGGTAGTTATCTCCCTTTATGGCAAATATCAATAATTATTAATAACCGTATTTAGTTTAAACAATTTAATAGATAAACTGAATAGGATTTAACAACAGACGAGGGTCTATATACGTTGTCCCCCAATATTATTAATACTATATTAACTATAAACCTTTAGTTAGGTTTTGAGTTCTAACAAATATTTAAACTTGAACAAATATAAATATTTTCTGACTAAAATAGTGTAACATAGTGTCAAAGGATCTAATATAAACGATGATTATGGATTTGACTTCTTTATTTTAAAAGTACAGGAACCCACACTATCAATAACAATATTACATCAATAATTCTAACACCCCTAATTACACATTACATCTATAATTCTAACACCCATATCATATTGTATTCAGGGGGATCACGTGGCTAAGTGGGTAAGACACTGGCTCGCTAGCCTGGAGGTCGGGTGTTCGATCCCTGCAGTGGCCGAGAAAGTTCATCCAGATTTTCCGGCGTGATTCCCCCTTGTCAGTGATGCAGGACGGGTGGGGGGGCTGACAAGGACAGCTGACTAGTCGTTCGGATGGGACGGAAAACCGAGGTCCTGTGTACACTTTGGCGTGCACGTAAAAGAACGCTTGACAGTTGGAATTTGATATAAGAGTAGGCCGTAGTGCCGCTGTCCGGGCAAAATTTCCCTCATAGCACACTGTATGGCGTATGCCCGTCTTCATTAGCCCAGCAGAACAGTAGGACGTTAAACTCAATTTCATTTTCATTTCATATTGTATTCATTAGGTCATCGTATTAAAGATACATTATGGGAGATTTTAATAGAGAGTTGGCCATTCTTGCTATAACAGTTCAAAAATAGATGATGAAAGAAGAATATATTGAAAATTTCAGTCAAAGTATTTTATTCTGAACAAAGTTATCACCACTGTAATTTTTGACTAGAAATAGGAGTCAAATCTCTCTTCACCGTCTCCGAGAATGGCCGATCGTTTGATTGACAGGCGTTAACTCCACCTACATAATCTCGATTATCAAGTAACGTTTTCAATAGCTTTGGTACCGTTAGCCTATCCGGTTTGAGGCGGGGTTGTAATTCAATTCGTATCACATTTATTTTTACTACAAATTAAAAATAAGACTTTAAATATATAGATAAGAAGCGAAAGTTTGAAAGGAATGGACCAAATCAATGAGGCATAATTATAGCCTCGATCTAAAATTTCCGGGAGTATGACGTCAACGTAACAGTTAATCTCCGCTTGCGACGCCATTTAAACATTTAATCAATCAATGAAATCCTGTTTAAACCCAAGCCGAAAACAAGCCATCCGTGGGTCTACAGAGTTGATTTTGAGCTTGATGTGTAAATAAAGATCTAATTTATAATTTCGATGACATCTGAAGCCTAAATAAAGACTTGCAATAATCAGATTTAGCTCTTGCATAATGTATGTTTAATTTACGTCTGCCTCTATTGTGGTGCACCCTCGTTCTGCCTTGAGCTTCCCAGCTTCTCTAGTGGACAACCACAGTCCGACTCTGCCATATACCTAAGCCATTTTATACTAATACAGTTCATTACAGTTATCTAATTAACTATAATTGCACATGCATAAATGATATAATGAAATCAGATTATCTCTCGATAAGCCTATGGCAGACTACATAACAATTTATGATTATCTAACTTGACCATTGACATACATCAGCTGGACTGATTGTATCTGCAACTCACAGCTGTTTAATACTATGTAACAATAGATATACTATCGAAAATAAATAATACTGTAACGAGAGTGGCACATGTAATATTAAATCAAATATTGTTTAAATTATTGATTTTCGTCCCACCCGATCAACTCGACACTGTCCTTTCTAGCACCCAACCCCCACGCCGTCCTGCACCACTGACAAGAGGAAAACGCACCGGAAAAATCAGCAAATTTGTCTTGTACAGATCTGTGTAAGTGTAATCAGAGTGAAATTGACCCCCCCCCCCCCCACTTTACAGAAAAATAATTAATAGATGTTTATACATGATGACTAAATCAGATAACATTTAAAGTGACGAATAAGTCAAGTTACAGCCTTTAGTTTTTGCCAACCACTCGCTTCTTACCAGCCCAGTTACAGCCTTTAGTTTTTGCCAACCACTCGCTTCTTCCAAACCACGTTACAGCATTTAGGTTTTGCTTTGTGTCTATACTTGTAAGAAAATTACACATTTATAGATATTGATTCAGTTTAAATATGTGTGTAATTTGGCTGCAGGCCTAGAATCAGTGGCGTTTCTTATGATAAAAATGCAATTTATTACAAAACGAACAAGAAACGTAAGCTTCACAAAGAATTTGTTAAGTAGAATTATTACATGCAGTTTATTACAAAAGGAAAAAAAACATAAGCTCCACAAAGAATTTGTTAAGAAGAACATTTATATGAAATTGTATGGTTTATTATTAAAAATTTAATTTGGTAAGTCAACCATGGGTGTAAAACAATGTTATAAATGTGTTGATTTAAAAAGTAAACTCGGTAAACAAACCAAAAGTGTTTTGTTGTATCGAATTTCAAATTATATCGTCAATAATAAAACAAAACCCGTCTCGAATAGTGTTCTTATGTAAACAACATTTCGCCATTACCACTAAGACATAATCGATCATTAATGGAACACACTTGATAATACTGGACAATGAAACCGGCAATACAATATACCAATAAACCCGATACTAATTAAATACTACCAAATACCATCGGTAAAATAATTTCAGTGTGTATCTATTATTTCCGCAGTTTGTTAGAGTCCTGTTTAGCCCCCCCCACCCCCCATAGCAGCGTTTATGGGAACATATTGTGCGTCTAATCGGACCCACAACCCGTCTTACGAATATTTCCGTTGTGAAGACTAATTCCCTACTCCAATATAACCCACTTCTTCACCGTTCCACTGTACCCGAGTCCTGCTCTCTCCAGATGTCAGTAATCAAAAATATATGAAATAAAATAGGATTTAACGTCCTACTGCTCCGGAGGGGGGGGGGGCGAATGGTTATCGTGTGCGCGCTGTATCATAGTCTGTCATTGAGTCAACTAGGGTGGTTTCGATTCCCCGGTTGTACGTGACAAGGAGTAGGGTCGCCTGTCCAACTTCGTGGGTTTTCTCCGGGTCTTCCGGTTTCCTCCCACTGCTAAAGACCCCTACGCGCAAGCGAATTATTGAAATAAAATTATACCATCCGTTAGTCCCGAAATGACCTAGTTTGTGTCGAGTGGACTTTACACCCCATTTCTCTCTCCCTCGTCCCATCCGAACGACAATAAGTTGGCCATTGTCAGGCTCTCCGCTCTATCTCTGACAATGGGGGAAGCACGCCAGAAAATCCCGATGAGGTTTCTCGGTCCATGAATGGATCGAACAAGCGACTCCAAGGTTAGCGAGCCAACGTCTTACTCACTGGGCCATTGTGGCTCCCAAAGATGCACAAGCTTGATCTGAGTCTTTCAATTTCATCAAACATACACAGGTATCAGAACAACGGGGTTATTCATACAGATTGGAAGGTTCTACGT